GCCGCTCAATGTAAGATCTAGTGTGTGCAGCCCAGAACCACCACCTGATTTCCAATCAGCTTGAGAGCTCATAAATGATATTCATTTGGTCTATCTCCGTTAAGCCAGAATTGTAATCTAAGAAGTAAAAATCATTGATTGTCTGCTGAAGCAACAACCCAGACGACTTCCAACACTTCTAGCCTCTCCGGCTCTACCTGTCGCGTGTAGATCTGTCGCACCCGCTCGCGCTCTGCCACTGCAGTCTGCAGGCGGTACGAGATCTTGTTCTCATCCTTCCGACGGAGCGGTCCTAGGCTGAACGTAAACGGATCCGGCCCCGTGTACTTGCTGTCATCCCATGTCTGCTCCATGGGCAGCGGATCATCCGAGATTGTAGCATACTGGATCACCGAAAAGCCGTTCACGAGGTACCAGTCTCTCGGTAGAAGCCACCTATGGAGTAACGCTTCGTCGCCAGCGATGCTGGCCACCTTACTCAGAGCCACCATGTCCGCTTGGAACCAGGACTTCCAGTGGTGCACCGAGAGCGGTTGTTCCCGACCCGCCTCGTAGAACCCGGACGCATCCCCGCGGAGATCCACCTGAAAGAGGCCCTTCTCCCAGGTAAGCTTCGTGTTCGTATGCGCGTAGATGCACTGCGAGAGCATCCGATCGCCACCACTCTTGAAAACGTAGCACTCGTCGAAGAAAGGCTGCAGCTGCTGAACCAGAGGCAGCGAGAGGAAAATCCCCGCACCGCCGTATGCCATCAAACCCCCACTATACAACTGATACAGGTCCTCCGTTACGCTCCCAACGTAATGCGGCTGCGTCGGGTCATATGTGGCCAGTCGGTCGACCAGCCTCTCCATCGAGGGAAAGAAAGTATCATCATCGATCAGGACCGTCCATTGAGTATTGTCGTCCCGCAGTTCGTACAGGTACCGAACCAGATAGAACCACCGATCCAAGCGTTCTTCCACTGCCTTCTCCCGGATCACCAAACGGATCCCCAATGCCTCCGCCCGTGCCAGTGCCTCCTTCTTGGCGGCGCCGGCACTGTCCACCACGGCCAGAATCCGCGCGTTTGTTCCACCAGCCCAATGCGCAAAGGCATCCAAAGACTCAAGCAGGCGCTCCATCGAGGTTGCGACGCCGAAGACCAGGTGCGATGCATCGGGACGGGGACGCGGCCGGGGGCCCTGAATGGTCACGGCGGGCGCGCATCGCTCGGCGGAGAGGTCCTGCCGCTGCGCATCACCCTCCAGGGACACCGTCCGGAATTTAGGAAACTTGGCATCGAGGGTATCTGTGTATCCGGTGAAATTGTCGGACTGGTCCACGGCGATCTCTAGGCGCGCGTACTCAATTGAGGAAGACGTGGGAGAATATTGCCGCAGGAGGTCGAGGTCCACGTAGCACGGGTTCTTGTAATCATTGGGAGACGACGACGGCTGGTTCAATTCACTGTGAGACAGGGGTTCAGTAGTGGCGGTCCGGCGGGACGAGGAGAGGAGAAAGATCAGGCATGCGGCGAGGAACGCGGCCGCGATAAGCAGGGAGGGGTGACGGTGGATGCGAGACATCATCAGGGATCAGACATGACGATGATCACCTCACTTTCTTTATTCTAGGGTGTGGAGAAGACACCTTAGCAAGGCAGAATTGTGTTTAGATGGGATTGTTGCAGAAAATTCGGAACGATTGCCCCAGGGGGGGGGGAGGAGGAGGAGGAAGGAAGGGAGAGAGGAAGTGCCCTCTAAAGCTTACGTTGACATAAGTGGAGAGAGGGGCTCGGGTGGATCTTTAACACCCATAGAGGAATATGATGGATCAAGCAGTGCGCCAATGTTCAAGAGAGAGCAAAGACAATTTTCGATATGAAGTACGGAGTAAAACGTACGAATAACGAATAAACCAGCTCAGTCAGGGGTCCTGGCATGCTAAACTACCAGCATTCCGCCGCGTAAATTTAGCCTGCCTCATAAGCATTTGCTAAGTAGTTTAGCCGGGAAGGACCCCCGACAAGGTAAATGCCAACAATCGAGCCATTGATAACTTCAGAGCTTCTCACAAACCGAACTTTTCCCAGACTACGTACGCTTCAAGCAAAACATGATCGTCAAAACTCCAGCTCAATAGCAAGTCCAACACCCCCTCTTTAAGTCTAGAAGCACAACCTCGTTCATCTTAGTCTGTCTTTCTTTCCTGCCTTGCATTGGCTCTTTATGCGAGCTAGGATCTAAAACTATGGTATATCGACACGTAAATCTTGAGTATTCTTAAGCAACTCACTCTACCGGCGAGTAGAATGGCAGAGTTCTCCTTTTACAGGGAGTTGACCAGTCTGCGCTCCTTCCGCAGACTGCGGAGCTTCTCACGGGCCTCTTCCAGAGGAACCATGATGCCCTTGTTCTGGGTGGCGGGGTCATCACGGTTACGGATGTTGACCGAACGGTTCTCCTTCTCCTGAGCACCAACAACTAGAATAACGGAATTAGCATAAGTGAAGGAGAAAGCATACAAGACAGAGAACATACCGAAAATGAAGTTGTACTGGTGCAATTGTCCAGTACGGATCTTCTTCTGCATGGTGTTACCGCTGATATCAATGTCAACGTTCAGCTTGTCAGCGCGCAAGATTTGCTGCAACTCCTCGACGTAGTCGTTGACAGCGGGCATGACCGGGACGATCAGGATTTGACGGGGACTGATCCAGAAAGGCCACTTGCCACCGAAGTGCTCAATCAAGATACCAAGGAAACGCTCAAAGCTGCCGATGATGGCACGGTGGATAACAACGGGACGAGCGCGACCAGGACCAGGCTCCGTGGACTTGGCCTCGCCCTCCTTAGGCTCCTCCTGGGTCATCTGGGCCGTCTGCGTCTTCTCGTTGGTCATATATTCAAGCTTGAAGTTGATAGGAGCCTGGTAGTCAAGCTGGATGGTGGCACACTGGAACTCTCGCTTGAGGGCATCGGCAATGGTGATATCGATCTTGGGCCCGTAGAAGGCTCCATCGCCCTCGTCAATGTACCAGTCGCTGCCCTTGAACTTGGTCATAGCAGCCTTCAGCTGCTCTTCGGCATAGTTCCAGGTGGCAAGCTCACCCAGGTACTTCTCCGGGCGGGTAGAGAGCTTGAGCTTGAAGGTGAAGCCAAAGAGGCCGTAGATGGACTGCAGGAAGTCGAACAGACCCTCGATTTCGGACATGATCTACGCTGAATTAGTTCCATTGTGAAATGACGGGAAAGCTCGTGCCAAATCCTTACCTGGTCCTGAGTACAGAAAATGTGGGTATCATCCTGCTGGAATTTGCGGACACGGGTGAGTCCGCTGAGAGCGCCGGAGGCCTCGTTACGGTGCAGGACACCGAAATCCGCGATTCTCAGAGGAAGCTCACGATAACTACGGTCACGGTGACCAAAGAGCACGAAGTGACCAGGGCAGTTCATGGGCTTCAGCGCCCACTCTCTCTTCTCGACGTCCAACTTGAACATGTCGTCCTTGTAGTGCGCCCAGTGGCCGGAAGTCTTCCAGATACCAACATCATACATGTTGGGGGTCTGAACCTCCTGGTAGCCACGCTTGCGATACTCTGAGCGCAGAAGGGACTGGAGAGCGTTGAAAATCTTAGTACCGTTGGGCAAAAGGAAAGCGCATCCAGGAGAGACTTCGTCGAAGAAGAAAAGCTCCTGCTCCTTTCCGATCTTGAGGTGATTGCGCTTCTCTGCCTCCTCGAGAAACTTAAGGTGTTCAGACATCAGCTTCTTGTCGGGAAAGGCAACACCACGGATGCGCTGCAGTGAGTCGTTGGTCTGGTCGCCAAGGAAGTACGCCGAAGAGTTCTGTGAGATATGAGCAATAGGCCACTATGAGATAGAAATACTATGAACGCGACATACCTGCATGATCTTGAAAGTCTTAATCTTGCCAGTGCTCTGGATGTGGGGACCCCTGCACAAATCGACAAGAGTACCGCACCGGTAGACGGTGCTCTTTTCGCCGGTCACCAACTTGTCAATGTAATGAAGCTTGTACTTGCTGTATGCGAACATCTTCTTGAGGTTCTCCTTGGTGACCTCCAACCGGTCGAAGCTCTGCTTCTCCTTGAAAATACGAGAGGCTTTGTTGTCCAAGGCCGACCAATCAGTCTCCCTGACGACACGACTGTTTCGCAGTTAGCGTGGAAACTCCTTAAGGCAATGACTAGATGAACGTACCCATCGGGCATGGCCATATCATAGAAGAAACCCTGAGGGGTGGGGGGACCGTGAGAAAGAAGACATCCGAACTCGCACTCACAGGCCTCTCCCAGGGTGTGCGCGCTGGAGTGCCAGAAAACCTCTTTTCCCTCGGGATGCTCGAACGGCACATAAGAGACGGTACAATCACCCTCGAGCGGGCGACCAAGATCCCAGAGTTCCTTGTCCACCTTCGCGATAACTATGCTAGCGCTCAATTCCTTGGGGACGTTCTTCAGAAGCTGAGCGGGGGTGGTCTCGAAGGCCTTCGCGGTGACATTGGCGGTGTTGCCGTCACCAAGTTCGATGGTGACATTGATGTCGTTGTGGGGCTTGTTCTTGAGCTCTTCCAAATATTGCTGCCACAGCTCCTCGAAGAGGTTGTTACGTTCGATGATGAAATCGGGGAGACCGTTGCCTGGCTCGTTTACTGATTAGGAGGGCTTCCGATAACATGTGGCGGGGCAAAAATGTTAAACTCACCAGCAGCTTTGGCGTCGGCAGCAGGCCTGATAGGCAGATCTTTGGAGCCCTCGGAAGCCATGACTGTAGCCCGCAACGTCAGAAGGTCAATCTGAGAAGAGGTGTACCGACTATTGAAGAGGGGTAAACCAGCAGCGGGATGGCTCTTCCGCATCGAAATCGGACGATCATGACTCAAAAACCGAGACGGAGGGAGGGGGGCGGTGAGTCACGTGAGTTAAAACTGCCCTTGCGGCTAGCGACACTTGCCGCTTCGAGGCTTCCCACCATTTGAAAACTTCTCCGGACTCCGGATTCAGGTCGATCAGAACACCCAGCAATACAACATGTCTTTCCGGGGCCGTGGTACGGGCGCCAATCGTGGCGGTAGCTTTGGTGGTCGTGGTGGTGAGTTCTCAGCCAGAAGAGCATGGGAGAATTGATTGTCGCGTTGAGGATAGGCTGACGAAATTTTCTTCGGATAGGTCGCGGAGGCTTTCAGCAGCCTGTCGGACCCCCGGCGCAGGTTTTGGGTAATTATACCGCCACAAAACAACCAATCACTAGTTACTGATGGCTTTGCTTCAGAGATGGGAACTGTCATGCATGCTTGCGAAGGCGAGATGGTTTGCGAATCGATCAACCCCAAGATTCCCTACTTTAACGCCCCCATCTACCTCGAGAACAAAGTACGATCCACTCCGATTATCGCTCCCGAAACAACGCCATTGCTAACGAGACTTGCCCTTAGACCCCTATCGGTAAGGTCGATGAGGTTCTTGGCCCCATCAACCAGGTCTACTTCACCGTGAAGCCTCAGGAAGGCATTGTCGCGACTTCGTTCAAGGCTGGTGACAAGGTCTACATCGGCGGCGACAAGCTCCTTCCCCTGGAGAAGTATGTTACGACATCCCATAGGGTACCATGCGAACGATGCTAACCTCATGGTTTTAGGTTCCTTCCCAAGCCCAAGCCCCCACCGGGTATGATTCCGAACATATATGTGCATGAACAGATCATTGATACTAATGCCCTTCATAGGAGCTGCCAAGCCCAAGAGAGCCGGCGGTGCCGGTCGTGGCGGTGCTGGTGGACGCGGTGGCCGTGGTGGCTTCGCTCCCAGAGGTCGTGGTGGTCCTCGTGGTGGTGGTCGCGGTGGCTTCTCCAGAGGTGGCGGTGGTGGTGGTTTCGGTGGTGGTCGCGGTGGTGGCCGTGGTGGTTTCTCCAGAGGCGGCGGTGGCGGTGGTTTCGGCGGTGGTCGTGGTGGTTTCTCTCGGGGAGGTGGCAGCGGTGGGTTCCGACGATAGACAGTGTCTGTCTGACCTAAAGTACTGTCTTATTACGGCGTTATGGGAAAACGGGAGCTTCTTGCAGGAATTTATTTGTCTCGATATTCTTGTGCATTCTCGGAAAATTGCTGCTTCTCGAAGTGCAGAGGCTGTGAGCACAATGCAGCCATTAGACCCATGTATTGCAATGATTATACCTGTTAATTCTACCTTTGTTTCCCTTGAATTGCCGCGGGCCGAGTTAAAGGGAGAGATGCGATGTCTTCGCAGACTGGCAAGATGAGGAGTAGTCCATGGGGGTCCTAAATAAGCTCACTATGACTAATCTGGGGTTATAGCTCAGTGGTAGAGCGCTCGCTTTGCATGCGAGAGGTCTGGGGTTCGATCCCCCATGACTCCATTTTTTGTTCAACCTGCAGCTGGGCAATATAAACATGTCAAGTCGGTGATTTTTTTGGGCTCAGTTAGATGATTACTAATCACCTTTGGTGGTAGTTAAAGATTGGGGACGGTATCGAGTCAAGGTCTATAAGATTTGTCAGGCTGTGCGGATACATGGTTTGCTACTATGCCTTCCAGACTTGTTTTTGCATGAGGAATGTGCTTGGCAAGGACACACATATGCGGCGAGGTCTGAGCATAGGGTAAACTCTGGAGTCACGATGGTGGTCTTATTTTGATCATAATGGCTCTCTCAAAGACTCATTACTAAGCTGGGGTTATAGCTCAGTGGTAGAGCGCTCGCTTTGCATGCGAGAGGTCTGGGGTTCGATCCCCCATGACTCCAATGCTTTTTTGCTTCTGATCTATATGTTCAAGTGATCTTTGTTTTTGCTTGCTTCTCTTGTCTTGGATATTTATCGGTTGTGGTAGGTATTTCCCGGATATCCAGGTTGCAACCAACCACTGATTGGTGCACTTATGACAAGGTCATATTCCCAAAAATCTAAATTTCGCAATTGGTTCGCGGTAGCAATTCAACAATCAAACTTGAAATGAATGTTGATTTATTGGTAACCAAAGAAGGGCGGCTAGATGCAAGTGATGCAAAAAATGGAGTCATGGGGGATCGAACCCCAGACCTCTCGCATGCAAAGCGAGCGCTCTACCACTGAGCTATAACCCCAGTTGTATTGCTGTAAGCTTACTAGTCTTCTTCTCACTCATGATTTTACAGCATTTGTCCAAGGACCATTCGTGGCACAAATTCTGCAACGTATTCCGATAATCGGTAACAGAGGCTGTGTGTGGCGCGGACCAACACCGCCTTGCAATGACGTCTAGCCACGCCTAAGCGGTCAAAGAATTAATCTGTGCGCCTGTCAACACTCCTTCATCGATAACTGGTTTCCCATTGCATCATTCCCCTTCCATTCCCCACGGACAACCTCCGCATATAACCAAGCTTCCCCCGTTCGATCTCTCGCCCTCACTTCAGTTTCTTTATCAATCGAATATTTGCAATTTGAGCATGTCTCGGAGGACATCCACCATGCCGTCGAATACGTCTCAGAATAGCGGTGTCCCACCTGCGGGCGATGGAGGTATGCTTAAATCCTGGTGCCAGTCTGTCTGCGACAAAGGATGCTCACGTTGTGGTAAAGGACAAGAAAAGCAAAAGATGCTCCTTTCAGCAGAAACGGGTCATTTTAGCATGGTCAGGTTAGCATCCTTGACCTTCAAGCTGGTTTCTTCGACCTTGTACTCATCTGCCATCCTTTACCAGAGCTTTACATCTCGCCGATCTTGTGACTGAACTGAATGGTAATGAATCTGATTTCATTGGAAAGTGATCCCTGGGGATTCTGCTAACATGTATCGATTATAGGATTCTGCGGAGGCAAGCTACACCCCAGCCCGAGAGAGAACCTGCAACCTCATACTGACTGGTTATAAACAGTAATGTCTGTCTTTTCGTCAATGCGCTACTGTCTCGGGGATCCCACCGACTATTCCTCTCTCTGGGCTGCTCTTACGTTTATGCCTTTCGGACTCTTCTTTGATTTCATGGATGGCAAGATTGCTAGATGGAGAAAGAAGTCTTCTCTGATGGGACAAGAGCTCGACTCTTTGGCGGATCTGGTACGTTTGAGGTCTTTTCTGATATGGGAGGGGGCTTGCTGCTGATCGTTTACTCTTGTGCTCTCCCAGATTTCCTTCGGAATGGCACCCGCCGCTGCAGCCTTCGCCATCGGCATCCGCACCCCTGTCGACCACTTCTTCCTGACGTTCTTCGTTCTCTGCGGATTGACCCGATTGGCGCGTTTCAACGTGACCGTTGCTGTTCTTCCCAAGGACAAGACCGGCAAGTCCAAGTATTTCGAGGGCACGCCCATCCCAACCACCCTATCCATCGCAGCATTTATGGCCTACTGTGTCTCTCAGGACTGGGTCCAGGACAATCTACCATTGGGCCTCGCGGGCGAAGGAACCGCGTTCGAGTTCCACCCCCTTGTGCTTCTTTTTGTGCTACATGGCTGTCTAATGGTCAGCAAGACCCTGCACATCCCCAAGCCTTAGAGGAGGTTCGACTTATGAAAATGAAAAGCTCAACAGACGCGCGTCCAATCTGTCTGAGCCGAGGTTTCCATTTCTTGATAGAGATGTCTTATTAAATGAGCATATATACTGAGGGAAAACCTACGTCAAAAGTGGACATCGAAGTATTTTTGGGGATACCGCTGTTGTTAAAACAAGTCACATTCTACTGTTAAATTTCGCAATCACCTGGTGTTGTTGATAGTAAAATCACATTTGAGGCTTAGTGCAACCATAACCTTCCTTTTCTTCTTGGGGCCTCTGCCTGATATTGAAATTACAGTAGAATGGGGCCTAGGTATATCAAGTTCTCTATCGCCCCTGCTAATGCGGGATCCGCGATTGAACATACTACCAAGGCCAGCAACTGTTCCATCTCCTCTGCTGGACACACCTTTGATTGCAGTCTCTATAGAAGAATCCACCGCTGGCATATTCCCCGCGGACAATGATCCAGCAATATCCTATCATGTTTCCCCCTGTAGGTACGTCAAGGATATGCGGCCCGCTCGTCGCTTATATATCTCCGCCCGACCATGTACCGGCAACATGAAATAGCCCGCCGACACAATCCATCCTACCCCAAAGCATCATTCTATTTTTTCTCTCTCCTTACCAAGTAATACATATTGACGCAATAACGCAATAAACCCAACCGTCGCGAGGACACGTGAGATCACCAGGCAAATAGATACACCTAAATTTTACCCTCGGTGCTGGCAGGTTCTGTGATTGCCTGTCTAAGTCAGCGGTAACTGCCTCGCATTATCGCCAGAAGGGAAGCCTCCTCTGGTCCCACAGTCTAGAATGGTCCACGGCCTATTTCACTCTGGCCGTCGTCGATGTGCTTTTTTTTTTCTTCGCACGAGGGACTATTGTTGTGTGGGGGGATGTTCTATGGTTTCAATTATCCCTTGCGACCATAGCACAGCTCACGCGACTTTATTCTTATGATCAATGCCGTTGATGATCCTTGAAGTCGAGACGAGGCCTGAAGTAGGTCTTATTTTTTTTTTTTCCAAATTTCGCACAGATATACAATGGATCTCTCCTACCCAGTCTGCTTCTACACTCTAATCTAGCTGGCCCATGTTACTGAGACATAAACGCCCCGCCCCAGTCATTCGAGAATCTCGAGTTCTATCCAGCCGTTGCAGACCGTCACAAGCCCACCAGACCGTCGTCTGTCCGGGTCATGTGCAAAATCGCCTGCTGATGTGATGTCAGTCCAAACGAGCAAGGTCGATTTCTCAGCAAGTGATGAACAATCATTAGTCAATCCAGCGACTTAGGTACTACAATGGGGACATATCGTTCGTCGTTCCCGCCCGGGGTTGCCCTGCAAAGTCAATCTTCTGGCCTGAGGGGGCATTGTTTGCTAAAGATAAACAATGCTAACCGTGATCCACTACCTCGGGCCACGGGTGTCCATGCCGGCATACGAAAGCCCCCAGGTTTGTGCTGTGCAGACGTGCGAGGAAAGTCGAGTTAGATTGGGAAGCTAGTCTGGCTTCAGTTTCTCATCGCAGGGCTACTCAGACTGACAGGGTAGACGCAGTAAGCAGATCACAGAAGCCCTCGAAGGTGTTTGCTTCACGGCGTATATCGCATTTTACATGCCAACTCCGCAATCCGGACACGCGGCATACCATTGAGAAACTGTCTGGTCCAAATACAGCCTACGACGTGCGTGGCTTGCATTGCCCGCAAAGAGAGAGATCTTACGTGCAATTTACCCTGTCAATACGCACACCGGACAAGCCGGATAGAGGGGGTTCATTCCAACGCGCCGGGGTTAAATTCGGTGCTCGAACATTTTCCCTATGAAAGATGGCATAGCATGTAACTTATGGGCTATTGCGGTAGTGGAGAACAATCTTGACCTCACTGAACGCAGAGGGCCTAGACCTCACATCTCTTGTTTCCAATCTTACTTCTAAACTTTTGGCACTTTGCAAGAATAACAATGCTTTCAACTTGGAAAGCCGTGTTGCGGATGTTGGTTGACACTTGACAGCCTGATGATGGGAAAAGTTCGAGCCGGAAGCGGCGAACATCTAGGGTTGGGGCTAGAAGAGAATTCTCCACTTCGTCCACTCTCTCCCCTCCCCCCCTTCCTGCACTTAGCCGGAAGGGCTCAAGGGGCCTTTAGGAGTCAGGGACTATTTTACCTCAGCCCGTCATTCCATTGGTGGCTGACAGGCCCTAGGATCAAAGAGGCCTAATGAGAGAACTGTTTACAGATTCTTGTCTACCTTAGTTTGCGAGTCCCTGAGCGGTTTTTCTCTCCGGCCAGTGGTGTTGTTCTCCCCTTGCCGGTGGTGGCCTCGCCCTTCGTTCTCGCAGCCGACTCACTGGCATGGGGTCCTGTCGTGCACGCTCTGAACATCATTCCTCGGGAGCACGGAGTGGAATGTCGGGCGTGGCTGAGAAGAATGGAACTGTCAGGCAGGTAGACTTCGACTTACACAGTATTTGGCAGGGAATGTGGTGGGAATAGCAGTCAAGAGAAAGGTGACTAATTGCTTGCTTGCTGCTTTGGATTGCCCGGGGAGTTCGAGGCGAGCGGGAGAAAGTGTCTCGCAAAAACAGCCACCACGTACTAGGCATAATTTCGCCACAAGCAAGGAAGATAGCGAGAAATCATCGATTCTTCGTCACGAACGACTGTCAATTGGACGGATTCGAGCAGCAGCAGCAGCAGTAGTAGTAGAGGTAGCAGGCCAGTCAAAGTATGACGGATCGACGGATAACTGTGCCCGAATTTTTTTTTTCTCCTCACGACGTAGGTACTGTACACTCATGGATGGTACTATAAATATCCTCGAGGGCAGTGGTCGAGGTCAGACGATAATCGGAGTAAGACATGGGCGGAGTCAGTACAATACACCGGGTCTGGTGGATGGGAGTTGCGAGAGAGATGTGTGTTTGTTTCTTTTTTCTTATGCCTCTGTAGTAGAAAAGGTGTAGAGGACTGTAGATTAACGGATACTGTGTGTGCATCATGGACAAACTGACTACAATTCACACACTCAGTCAGTCGTGCAAAACTTTAGAAGAGTGAGCTGGAAGAAAATCATCATATAGTGAATGGTTAACTCAGTTAAGTTATTTGGTGTACCATGGGAGTGATGTTCATCCCGTTTCAGAGCAGCTCATGACCAAACTGCAAGCCTGGAGTGGATGCAGTGGATTCGCACATGCCAGTCTCCGCCCGTGTTTGACCCAAAGGAGGAAAAAGTGGGAGTTGCCCCTGGACCCTCCCTTCAGTCATTCGTCACACCCGCGGGATCATTTCCAGTGTGCCCCGTACCTGGTACCTGCCTGGTACTGTATCTGGTAAGCTATCCGGTATTAACTCAGTACCAAAAGAGATTACCACCCTGGAGTGGTGCCCTTTGCTATGTACTGTATGTACACAGTACTGTAGGGGGACGGCTGCACGGCTGCACGGCTGCACATCCTTTGATCCAGGGTTGGTCTCCCTCCCGTTCCCAGAACCTTACCGTACCTGGTACCAAGTACCAAGTACCAACACATTGTATATTGTATCTGTAACTGGCATGTTTTGTTCAAGGTTGTTTCGTTCCCCCCCCCCCTACTGAGTTAGTATCCTCTTACTTAGTACTAGCCTGT